TTCTAACATACAAGCCATTCCTGGTTTGAAATATTAGTCCCACATAGGTGCATTCCAGACTTATCACTCGTTGTCTCTTGTCGAATACTTAGCAATATAACTAAAGAACATGCTTTTTAGTTTAATTTGGTACCTCGCATTTTCGCATACCTCACCACTGAGATTGGTACTCACCCCATTTGTTGCTGCGGAAGGGTGACACAGCCGGCTGAATACAAATAGGGCTAGTAATAAACTGGTTATACCGGTATCATTGAGGCAGAAATTGAATAAGGTAATAGAGCCAAATTCAGTCTTCGTGGTCTGCCTGCTAATGTCCCTACGTCCGTTAGAACTAAACTGAATTCACTTTAGCAACACTGGCTTTAAGAATGTCATCTTGATTTGTGAAACTTTATATACTACTTTCAGTAGTGTAATCTTTAGCGTCATATGTAGACAGAGCGTTCTAGACGCAAACCATGCTCTTCGCCTCAACTCTAAAATTGCACTGCATGCATTGAACCATATGTACTTACCCATTACCTTGTGCATCGTTCTATGATTTGCTCTCCCAGTACCAGTTGGCAGGTTTCAACTGGTAATGATATCCTCAGCTCTATCGGACCCATCAAATTTTACCAAGATTGGTTTAGTATTATTGCATCAGTGCATTTAGATGGGCATTTGAAATGTTTGTATAAAATTGTCAGTAAATTTGTATATATAATGCACTGTTCTACTTCTAGTAGATAGGTCTTTCTTCCCTTAATCTGTCTGTATTTTACTAAATAGAAGTGCGAACATGGTCGCATTCGGCGAATAAGCCTCCACAGTCATGAGTAACACTGGTTGTTTTAGCGTGTCCGCATGGTCCCGTTAGAAATCAGCTGGATTCGTGTCATTTCAACTGCACTCGATTTCTGTTTATTCCATTTCATACTCACAGCTCATAATAAATTTCAAAGGCTGCATTATGTTTGCATAAGAAAATTGGATGTATCTATTCTCCTCTCCATTCTTTTCCTTATCTCATTGCGAGGGCTGGACTTCGGGATTTTCGTAATAAGTATAACAGCAGGAGGCAGGTAACCATGTGATCCAAATCCATCAATCATCAAACGGTACTGCAATGAAACCTGATTTTGGAATCGAGAAAACGATTTACTTCAACACATGCGAGCATTTTGATCAGCATCTTTATGTGTGAGTGTTTCTTCATTGGCTCCTTCAAGTACAGATTCACCCCGTTCGCTCCAGTAACGATAAATAAGGTAGGCAACATCAGTAATCGGCGGCTAAGCAAAAATTGACATGGACATCCGCAATGATTCCATTTTTACAGGCAGTCAAATGCACCGCCAGACCTGTTACTGAAACTTGGAGCTCCAACTAAATAATCGGTAGTCCAAAAGATAATACAAGAATGCTAAAATGGGTATATTGCAGTTTAAATAAGAAACTGCGTCCATATTTGGCAAAGACTAAATATGTACCGGTCATACGATGCTTTTGCGTGCGCAACATGAATTTGTGTAGAACAAAAGACATAGGTATATCTCTTATCAGGGCGAGGTACAGTCCAGGGGGATATTGCGATTTCTGGTGAACGACAGGATTGCAAGTGGCAAAAGTTATCCTTGTTGAATTTGCCAAAGCAGTCCTCAGGCTTTTTGGTAGACAGCCAAATGGTCGGTTACATTTTGCAGGAAGTGGTTTTAGAAGCTAATGAGGGTAGATAAATGAAACGTAAAATTGAAGTTATACCGCCATTACTGGAACCACTTCCTGGGGATGTGGATTCATTCGGGTTACTCTCTCAATGTATTTCACCCACACTTCCATGCCCCATCTGGCTGTGTGCCTGCGTGGCTTTTAAAACAAATAAGCTGTCATATAGAAGCAAATGTTAGTAGCTCAGGTTGTTCAGTTTTTGGTCTAGTGTTCGCCGAGCTCAGCGAACACTCAGACAAAAAATAAGCCGGCACTTGAGTAACTCATCATTACGGCCTTTTTTCTATGTATATAGTGTGGACTGTCAAGCTATAATCATTCAAGCACAAACAGCATCTACCCAACTTAATACGTTGGGGACGTGCTTCCGCTTCCCATATAAGCACTGATTCCGCAGCTTTTTAGGCAAGTGTCAATATTTCACAGTTTTGATAGATGATTCTGGAAATGAAAAATATCCCAGTTCTAACCGACATGCTCAAACCAACCCTGGAGGTTTGCTTAACATACGTGATGAAATGGTCGTGATGCAATAACTGTTCAATCGGTTTGAGTGGTCATTTGGTAACTAACCGAATAGGTGAAGAGTCGGTCTAGGTCTAAAACCGTTCCAGAGCGTGAAGCTCATGAGAGGACGCGTAGAGTGCTGCACCACATGTCCATTGGTACGTAGCATTTTGAATGAAACTGTGATAAAAGTTAAGTATTCCTAAGAAATTTCAACTGTTTCACAGAAGTGGGTGTAGAGAGGATATTTTGGACATCAAGTTTCTATGCGGTTAGCGAAATGTCAGTGCCATGAGTGCCGTGAATATGTAAGTTCAAGGTAGATAAGAAAAAGACACATTTATAGCTGTTAAAAGCAACTCCTTAATTGAAAAGATGCGTGAAAAAGTCATCTATAGGTTCCAAGTGATTGCTTTCGTTAGCATATGCAGTCAACATATTACCAAGGTAAGCAAAGAAAATGGAAAGCCTGAAAATTCCTGATGAATAAAATGTTAAAATGTTTGTGCAGCACTACATAGAGCTATAGCATGTGTAAAGAATTGTACAATTAGAAAGGGGTTGTGATAACTGTCTTATGAATACGCTCAGAATGAATGGGCTATGGAGATAGTTGCATATGATGGAAATATGTGTAAGCGCAGGACCTAAAAGATGAAGAGAAAAGTCACGTACGTGTGGAATATGCCACCTATCAGAAACGGCGATGCGGTTAGTTTCTCCATAATCGCCACAATATTTCCAATCGGATGTGATTTTCTTTGCTATCATATCCAATGGTGATGTCTACATTTTTGAGGTCAGATTATTTCTAACTGAATCAAATGTTGAAACTCATCATTGGCTATCTTCAGTCTTTCCAGATGCGGACGTCGTAGACGGGAAAAGCTGATGTACTGCTGGTTGCAATGTGGTGGCATACAGAATATGTGGTATACGGCAAATGAATATTTGGTTTAAATAGATCTAGGAACCGACGAAGGAGCTTTTAGTATGAGGAAGATTTTCGTGGCAATAGCGTTATGAGGCAGATTGATGGTGCACACACAGTGTAACATACTGTGGATTGAAGCGGCACTACTAATTGTTGATCCTACATGAGACATTGGATATCCAAAGGTTTAACGTATTCTTGTATCTAAGCAGACATTAAAGCTGCACCAGGCTGATTTCTCATGCTCCTTACTATTAAACGGGCCTAAAACCTTCAAGCACGGAGGATTCATAGCAGAGCTAGATCAACAAGCGCTTGGATCTCGAGATCATTTACGAGTCTCTGCAAACCATGATGTTTAAACTGCGTTAGGGTTGCCTTAGTTGCAAAGAAATTCTCCAGAGAAACCATGCATCTCGCAGAATAACACAAAATCCACATCCACACCTCAAAGTACCGATATTCTCAACTAGTTCAAGTCGTTTTATCGTTTTTGTCCACCGTATCGTGTTCGCGCTAGAATTACATGCTCGATCCATAAAGCTGTCTAAGGAACCAACGGAAACCGTCGATTCTTAGAAACGACACTCAGCAGTTTACCACCTGGTTAAAGCGACCCAGACATTTGGGAATAAATACTATTTCGCATCAATAGGTCTTTTGTATCTCGGTACGCCTAACTGACAGTGGTGGGGTCCAAGCCCACTTGCTTCTAGTGCAATATTGTGCTTTGACATCAGTTGTTTACCATACTTGCATTTTTGGAGCACGCAATGCAAGCGGACAAAGAACTCTGAGCACAAGTATCGTCAGCTGGCATTAACCTTGAGATAGAATGACAAATGTAGGAATAACTGTTGTAGCATGCCATATGAACACACATTGGTTGTGCCTTGAAGAAAAGTTGGCCTGACAATCATCGGTATTCCAGGAGCGGAACAGTAACCTAGTGAAACACTGAAGAAGAAGAAGAAGATTTATTTTGTAAAACTTGAGGGCTGCAGCTCACATACATCCGCATTGTTGTTATGTTTTTCACGATTACGAAATCATTTTGAAGTTTGCACTTCCCTTATAGCACATTGCAGCTACTTCAGACACGATGGAATCAACTGTGCTTGTTTTTGCAAGTGTCTGCGACAGCTTGCTTATTCTCTACATTTGCAGAATCTGAATATCGTAGATTCCAAACTCATCTATCCAGCGTTATAGCCATGCTCAAAAGGCAAGCGGGTTGCGGTTTGGGCTTTACGTCGCACATTGCCCATAGATTGTACATCAAAAATTTTGAATTTATAATGAAATTTCGTACTAGTCTGCACAATCATGAACATTCTAAGTAGCTGTCCTACTTATTCTATGTTGATTTTTTCTCCAAAATACAAATGCGGCTAGCGCATCAACATGTTCCGTTCGCCACTGATGCACACGACTGTGATTGAATATTTCAAGAAACTGGAGTACCTCATGCCGACCAAATTCTGGCGCGCTGTGACCAAACCAATTCAATACACAATATTTTTTTGGTTACAGTGTAACTAACTGCCATTGAGCCTGCGTTGAATTGGCTCCAGCTGGCCTAACTGACGATAGGTATCTTCCTGGTATCTCTAAATGACACGAGCATTTGCGTTTACGGTCATTGCAAGAGATTTCCTGCCGCCAGAGCTTACACTTCCTTTAAATCATCATCGGCATCCAGAAAATCAAGTTAGGTTTTAGTCCTCATCATATTGCTTTATGACACGCAGTACGCACATCTTTTCGCACAAACAAATTGTAGAACAATTTACTTGTGTCCAGCTAATTTGTAGCCACCGCCATTGCTCAACAGACAAAGCGCTTCTGGTTGCTGAATGCAAACAATATTTTAATTACAGTGAAATATACATGTGATTTGTACATATAAGATATGGGGCCAAAATGGGTCCATTCGCACAGCCAGAGTGATAGAGTGGGGTGAACCGAGTTCTCAGGATTGTCACGTTTGAGTGCGGTCGACTTCGAATGGCTCCCATTTCTGTGGGATGGAGAAAGATGGCAAGATATTCTACAGTTGTGATCGGCGTTTTAATAAGCGCTAATCAACTCGCAAATTCACAGCTGTTTTTGGGGAAGAAAACCTTCAGTTCAAGTTTGTATCAGAAGACATCAAGTTTGCACACCTTCACCGAGCACTTCGTGTTTTCATCATGAACTGCATGAATTTCCCAGTTGACTAATTATGCAACAATCGCAAAACTGGAAAGTTCACTGCTATTCTATGATATGTAATGCTGTTATAAATGAAATTGACCTGAAACAACTGGTTACACGTGCCGTCTGGAAGCGGTCGTTTTGTGAGTTGATCCAGGTAGACCTTTCAGTCAGGTCGAGTTTCATTCAAATTAAAACTCTGACACTCTGGTCAATGAGACCGGACCTCACGCAGGTAGGTGATGTTTGCAGTCCGTTGGTAACAGTGAATTCCATTAAAGGTGTCAAACCTGTTTGGGGACCGGAGAGACGGTGACTAGCAAACTAGACTGTTATGTTCGCGTGTGGTAACACGGCTGGCAAAACGAAGGAGATCTAATTGCACTCCATTTATCAATATTGGCAGCGCCTAAAGATAAGGACACAAGGAAATATTTCGATTCTGTTAATGAACAACGTAATGCATTTTCGCGACACGAAACTATATCAAAACCTCCGTCGCAACTTTCCATCATCGGGTAAACTTGCTCCATATATGCGCACTGGTTTTAAACTAGACACATCTTACCGTGCACCGTTTAGAAATATCCATCTAATTCCCCTTTAGACTGTTGTAAAGGATACCACGATGATCTTATATCAGCATATCTGGTCATGCAACATTGATGCATGTCCAATTTTACCCGAACAGAATATTCCCATCTCACTCATTTAAGCAAACTTGTCCTCCCAGCTAACCACATGTGAACACTTTCGTAGTTCTCCTACTGTTGTCTTGCATACGATCACGATTATGCAGACATGACTCGGTGCGCTGAGAATAAATGATTTAGTTACTAAGTTATTTATTCATTTCTCAGGACTGTTACTCGAATCCGCCAATGGAAGCGCTGTGTTGCGAACTGCTAACACCTGGAACTGGCCTGAAATAACATGACATTGTACGCATGGGCAGCTAATCATAAGCACAACAGGCGGAATATCAACCATCCTTACCATGCGTGCTCATCACCCGATCTCAGGATACCTTACATTCAAACCAACTTGAATGTGATGTGACGTCTGTTAACACACAAAGAAAACATAATGAAACAAAGAATTCCTAACCTTACAATAACTGACCGCAATAAACGCAATTGCATAAAACTTTTACTGCTTACCTGTTTCGAGGAAACGGATGTGTTGCTTTTCAAGATGGTTGCCGAGGAATCCGATGTGACCGATGCAAATACGCTATCGCATACCGCGGTTTGAGGAATTCCATTTTTGGAGAACTCCTGTAACGAGTAGAGCGCGGAGGCCGTCACACTTGATGGCATACCCTGTGAACAGTCAGGGGAGACGAATAATATGCGAAACATAGGATAGTTTAATCCCATAAATTTGTTACTTTAGAGTTCAAAACCGCCTCAAATATTTAAAATTATAATTTGTTCACTTGTTTGCTTTTACCTTCATATCACAACAACAATTTATCTAGCTGTTGCATTCCCAGGAGATTTCTTCCAACACTTCGTCGTAATAGTAGAGAATATGTGTAGCTCGGGATGTGGATGTGGGTTTTGCACTGCTCTCCGAGCTGAATTATTATTTTGCAGACGTTTCGCTGCTAGACTAGGCAACATAATCAGTGCGGCTTTAAGGTCCTGTTTCGCAGAGCCTCGTAAGCGACTTCCAGATCTAAGTGCTTATTGATCGAGTTCTGCTTTGAATATTAGGCAGTGCAAAACCCACTTCGTTGTAACTTCACTCAATACGTGCGCACTGAAACGATCCTTGAGTTGGCCCTCACACAATCTGGTATGTATAAGTCTCAAAATCGTTAAATTCTGCTCAGGGTTTCAGGAGTGTATTCAGTTTACTACCGTAAATGAACATTGGTTTCGCTGTACGTGTGTGTGGACATTACATATTTGGAAGCGCTCCCATCGTTCCATCCCTTGACTAGGGAAGTAACCGCCTGGATTGTGCCAAGCTGCAAAGTGGTAGTCAAGTTGTCAGGGAACTAGTTAATTTAGGCAGCTGCATGTACGTAGCCACATTTATGCATGGAATAGCTAAATGGTACTCACTCATTTGGAGTGCAATTTATTCCTACATTTGAGATAGGCTACAAGACCTGCATTTGGCCTGGTTTCATAAAGAAGTTTCAAATTGCCTTATTCCCGATACGATTTTGGTTGACATACTGCCATCAGTCTATTGAGGCATACTAGGTTAAAGTATCCACTAGAATCAGGTGACAATTTCTGTTACTAACTACTTTTGTAACAAAGGATTAAGACTCAAGCTTTATCCAAAATTCTTAGCCACATATGCCACCAGAATACGCCTAAAGGTGGACTGAGATGGATGTCATCATCTGGTTCGCATGATCATATCTCTCTTGCACATAGTTATGGTAAGTACCAACTCACCGTATCTGAATAACTCGATGGCCAGTTCTCATTCATGTTGGGTTGCTTTGAGCTGCTCGGCTGAGCAACAACTGGCGGATGATTCGCTGTTTCCATGTTTGAAGAGGCCATGGAAAGAAATGCAACGGGTGAACGGTCACACACTGTGTTAGCCGGAAGCAATGTGGTTAGTTGTTGCGTGACCCTTGGCAACTGAAATGAAAGCATAGGACGATGTTAATAATCCAAGCAAAAGTCTCCTGCATACATCATTAGACAATGCAGGTTTCTGGGGTTGTATGAGGGGAAAGGAGCCATACTGAGGTTGACAGAATGAATTGGTTCTTGGTCTCGGCCAGCTTCTTGCTCTGACATGCGATCCAATTGTCTACTAATAGCTTTACCGCAATTGAGCACCTTTAGATTAGGGGCTATTTCAAAACTAAGAAAAAAGGAAGCATTGCGTACTGATCCGCTCAAGTGTCTCTGCTTTCTGTGCCCACTTACAAACACTCCATGTTCAACACAAAACGCACAGTGACACCTAGTGCCATGTGCAGGCGCCGTGAAGCTGACTCGTTGGATAAATTGCAACTCGCACAACTAAATATCACAGCCGCCGTAGTGGTGAGTCAAGTGTCCAGCAGTCTAACACACGTGACCCTAACTATCAGTTTGGTACACTTCCATCTAACATGAAGTACTAGAGGTACACGCAGCACAACCCGAGCGCAGAGGCTGCTGGATAGTAAATTTGTTACAATCGACAGATTCATTCGACTGGGAGTATGGCGACAAGAGGACCTGAATTCCACAACAAGCGCCCTTACTCACATTTCAGACCATGGACAGTAGCTGCATTAAACGTACCTTCATTCCGGATTTCACCTGTTCCTGCAGATTATTTGCTTCATTTGGGCTATTGACCGCTACACTCTGCGAGTTCCCAATTTGGACGTTTCTCTTCAGAATACGCGATCCAGGGGTGGTTTCCACACTGCATGGCCGGGTGAACTGGTCCTGTGTGGTAGGTAAACACCGATCATTAACTCTGTGTGTTTCTTCCGAATAAGGTTCATTCGCATTCTTTGACGAGGCGATGGGTGTGTTATGTTCAGGTTGATGGACGTTATCTGCACATGTTCGATCGGGTTCCCCAAGTTCAACCTCCTCATTTTCGCAGAGTGTTAATAGTTGCGATTTGCCGACTGTCCCACATGAGTTATGCGCGCGTTCATTGTTCGTCCACTCACATCGAGTTCTTTTTAAACTGTGCCTCATGGAAGGAAAAAACTCGGTAACCTGATTATCACTCAGTCTCGTGCGGAATATGTTGGGTTTTCGAATTGTTGAGGACAATAGGGGGCTACCACAGTTACTGTTCTGACTGTTCCCAGTCCCCGCTGGGTCACTTTGCACGCTGTCCATACCGCTGCTGTCGGCGCTGCTGAGACTATTTGGTCGAACACCAATGGTCTCATCATGAATACCAGAGGTGGAGCTGGGTATCGATCGGAGTAGTTGGGTGCACGTTGTATTGCTCTCCAAATTTTTGTGCTCAAATACATAGGGTGCATGACTCGATCGCACGTCCCGCATCATTGGATCCTGTGACATGTTCATCTGGTCAATATTATCGTATGAGTGGGAACAGGCCATTCCACTGTGATACGATAATGCCAGGAAATTACTCATCGAGGAAGCGGATACCAGGTTGGAGTTTTGTGATAACCGAGTTAGTCCGACAGGTTTTGGTGAAGATGACCTACTCAAGAGTGTTTCAGATCTCCCTCGTTCCTCCATACTACCGAATTCTGGTGTGGAATTAAACAATCCCGAACCGAATGCCGCATTCCTCGCGGGCATTGTGTACAACGCTTCGGCAAGATCGGCAGCGCGTTTTAGAATTATCTCTCTTGGCAGTCTCTCCGGGTCTCCTGGGTGTCGCGGAATGATTTTGCACAGTCTCTGGAATCCGTAATCAATTGTGGGATCCGTGATTGCTGATAAGGAGAGTGCAACAAGTGTCATACAAGGAAGTAGTTAACTTTTCTTTATCCATCTGCATTAAATCTACTAAAAGATAGCCTGAAAATACAAAATGGAGTCCGGAATTTCTCTTTCCCAACAACTCAGCTCCGAAACTTTCAACTTGAGATGCGACTGGAATGATCGAAATGGGAAGGTTTTGCTTCAAAACAAACCAGAATTTCAATAGAGATTGCGCGTTGCAATCCAGACAAACAGCAAGTATTCCAAAACAGAACCATTAACAACGAAGTTGGGTTTGTCCTGAAAAGCACTCAGCTAGTTTTACCATTTGCTTTCTTATAGCTCCACGGAATAGCATACAAGGTACATATCCATAATCCAACCCTACCGGTTCTGCTAATTAATCAATTAATTAATGGTTGTTCACGTACTTTAGTGCAGTTTTGGACAACTTTTTGTTAAGGTTATAAGCGGCTTGATGGTAGAAAGCACATAGCAAATGATAACACCGGGCTATATATATTGTAAAACATGGATATGAACACTTGATAATGTACCCCTTATGTTAGCGTAAGAACAGAAAAGTAGACAGTGGCAAACTCACATATGTAGGCGAAGCGACCAGGATTATTTTTGCAAAATATCTTATTTTTGAACGCCATCGTCACGTCGACGATTCCCGGCATATGATGTGGGGGTGTTTGTACGCGCAGTGCGTGTGGAGTGAGGAGCTGCCGAAGGAAAATTAAAAGAACAGGTTACTTGGTCCTGTATCTGACGTACATCAAAACTTGCTAGAACCTCCTTGGAGCAACGTCCGCATGTCAGATAATGGTCTGATTTTCCATGTCAATCATTGACTAAGTCGGTAGCTCCATGTGCATCACCTACATTCATCTGTGTTTTGTCACGTTCGGACGCACGGTTTGGATAACCACTGAAACATCTGCCTGTTCTTCGATAACTTCAATGTAGCTACCATAAAGTGAATATTTTGGGGTGGTGACGATCTGTGCATTAATGCCCATTTGCTTTCTATAGTGCGAAAACAGTACACACACATTGTGCAAAAATATATCTTATCATTTTCGTGTTTCCGATCTTAACAAGCAGATGTTAGGCTTTTACAACCCTATTTCGTATGCTACTTGAGTTTCCCGTTTTCCACTTTCAAAAAGGCAAATGTTTTGTCTCTACAATATTCAGAAACAAATGATCTAAACTAGGGTTGTACATGACTAGTGTAAAATTTCATATATCTAGTAAATTGCTCCTTACCTCGCTCCATACCGCAGTATTGCCGAATACTACTTGAAGCCCATGAAAGAAATTTTCTCCAATCACAGTGATCGTCTCACTTCCCGTGATCCAGCCCTCGTTTGGACTCAACGCCTTAATCATCGGAGTCATGCTTGAGTAAACTAGAGAAAGACAAGTAAAGATTTCCACTAATTTAAATAAGCTTAATGTTGGATTTAAATTTCTAAAGATTACATCAAACCATTTGCTTTCCGCTACTCTACACGGTTTCGATCAACTTAATGTCGATGAGGTGTCCGCGTAAGGATTGGATTGTAACGGGATCTGTTCCATTCACAGATTTTTGGTATTCTCACCGTAACTAACATATATTTCATGGTCCGCCGAAGCGGCTTCCATCTTCCGCTTTTTGATGAAACTAATGCATCAGTAAGCAGTGTTGAACAGTAGATCTCAGCGAAAAGAGATACATACGCATCGGACAATTATGACAAAAATCTGTGCTAATGCAATTCACCAAAGAATGCGCTAAACTGTAAATACTTCATATATACACCCATATGCAAGCGCTGTAGTATTTTGAGTCGAATTCGTTTCGTACAAACGCACGCAAGAAATATATTACAGCCAATAGACTGAAAAAATTATTACTCAGTCCTAAAGTTTCATGATTCTCTATTCCAACAAAAGATATTCTTCGTTATTTCTTTCCAAATCACTGAAAGCTCTTTTGTACTAGGTTAGTTTTATTCAGCTTCTCAGGTTACCTTCTTCATCAACGGAATGAAGGAAAAACTGATGCCGAAACGCCCATTGTTTTATGCCAACGGTGCTGCTTTGGGGGTGACAGACGCGAATATTCACGGCTCATTTCCTCACGTTTGCCCGGAGGGAGTATCACCAGATAAATTCGGGTCTGTAATTTACTTGATTCAGTTCGTTGAAACTTTGAAATCTCATGGGTACGTGAAACAAACGACATTGCCAAATGATGTAATTCTCAACCGGCCGGCATCCATGCATGAAATATTAAACCGTAATGCCTTAATCAACCGATCTGCAATACGTCGGCGTGTCAGTGAATGCAACCGAAATCCTGACTACTTGCAAATTCTGGACACTATAACTGAACATTGGTTGAGTCAGGCGCCATAAGGTAGCCGCAGCTAAGCTCAACTGATAATAAAGCTAACCCAGCTGACCAAAAGATTAGTAAGTACGTGACATATGTGCTTACCGCTGACAGAGTACAATTTCGACAATGTTGGATACTCACTGATAGAACTCAAAACTAAATCAATTTGTCAAACAAATTCAAGTAGACCTATAATTCAGCATCATTTTTGACGTGAGATGCTTGTGCTATACAATCACATGGGAAATTCTTGTCCCTGTTCAATGGCTGGTGAAGCTTTTTGGTTGATGTAGCAGTGAAGTTGGTGGAATCTCAGTAAATGCAAAGCATTACAAGTCACTTATTACAATAGATCTTCTGCTTAAACTCCTACTCTGCACACGAGAGTAGCCGCACTATATAAACGAAGGAATTCCTGCCGGCCGATTTTTCGATTGTGTTTCAATCTCTATTCTATAGGGGTTGAGTGTTTCGCTATTCGCGAGCGAAAGTTGAGTGGACAATTGGCTGACATATGGTGGACTATCAGTGGGATGGAAATTAGGAGAGTTGGTCAATTGTTGGCATCAAGAGGTGACCATACTTGACAGTAGTTCAGCGGCAACCGTTTAGAATGAAGCTCTTCCGCAGATGCTCATCAAAGCTTCACCGCACTTGAAGTAACTGGTATTAATAGAATTCTGCTCTAATCGTCTCACTGGTTAGTGAGCTGCTTGAAACTATCAGCACTACGGAGGCATAGCAAAATTTACCCCACGTATATAATTAAAGAGAGGTAAATATTGATCATTCACATGCTCATTTCAATGCCTTTAAGCCTCATTATCCAGTAGTCCTTGGTTGCCATAATACTTGTAATCATTTGTGAGCTTTTTATTCTGATGCATACGACAATCCAGTGCGAAATTAATGTGCGAATGCATTTCGGGCAGTTATGCTGTGCCGCGGTCTCCCAGAACTTGCCTTCACGGGAGAACAGATGAGTAGCACCGGATGAGACACCAACACCGGAAGAAAATTCAATGTATGTACTAATAAATTTTAGCTTTAGATAAATGTGCAGTTCGAATATACTACCTGGTCACGGGAATTCACTAATTAAATACAGTAACCGTACAAAAGTACATTGTTAAGCTTCAGCTCAAGGGGAAAACCGGTGACGTGTTTGCCAGGAGACACCAGTTTCGAAGTGCTCCTACTGTATTGAGTCTTTTCGTGCATCTAATTCCTGCTGAAACGACGTCCGATTTGTGAGTAAACATTTAACCGAGTCAATTTGCTTCTTCTTACATCGATAGAAACGCAGTTACCTATGTATATCAGAGAAAATTATCTCTGAGTTCACGTCATGCATCTTTTTCACTTTACATATATTCAAAGCTAAAGCGATGTATTGGGAGAGAATTCGGGAGATACACAGGAAAAATGGTTGGTTTCATCCTGATTAAGTCAGACGTCGCTAACTTGGAAGTAGTGGCCGATTACAGGCATTTGAAGTGTTAATAGTTGAGTATTTTAACTGTGCTGGAATCCGACGTGAAGTCGACCAAGATCCTGCCAAATTTTTCAGCGATATGATACTATTGACTTAACACTGGATACGTGGTAAGAAGTATGCGGCTTAAACTGAAGATGGAGTTTAAGTTAGCTGGACAATAAATGCAACGAATACCATTGCGTCATCCACGTGTCATCGCAATCGGAATATCGTTGCTGTGGTCCTCCGACGTCACTAAATAAATGTCATTTGTGTTTACATAACATCTATCGTTTTTTGAAAACATCCAAGGTAGGAGAGGATACAACTGAGTCAGGGAGTGCGTTCCAAGGTTTGCAAACCCGAAGGGAAAAGTAATTCCGTCGACACTCTAGACGGCTGTATTGTTCCTTCAACTTTAAGCAGTTACCCCTGAGCTGCGTGTTGTGGCTAAGTTTCAGCAAATGGCGGCATACGTGGTTGGGGTCACTCAATATTTGATACGCTAATATGAGATCACCGCGCAGTCTTCGATAGCGTCCGCTGAAAATTTCCAACATCTTCAGCCTTCGGTGGTAAGAGTGGTAGCGCAGGCCCTTTACATTCTTTGTTGCTCTCCGTTGTGGTGCCTCTATCGCTTCTAGGTCACGCTTCAACCAAGGTTGCCAAGCTTGGATAGCGTATTCAACATGCGGGCGCACGTAGGAATTGTGCATCATTGGGAAGATTGATGGGTCAAATCTCCCGAATGCTCTTCGCAGCATGCCGACATGCTGGTTGCCTCTTTTCGCAGCTACCTCAGCCTGTTTTGAACAGTTGAGGTCGCTCTGTACGATCACACCAAGGTCACGTTCCTGGGAGCTATTCTGCAGTCCTTTGGTCCCAAGTGAATAGGTGTAGTTATGACTATGGCGTAATTGTACGACGCGACATTTGTCTACATTGAACGGTAGGGCGTTTTGAAGTGACCAGTTCGACACTGTGTTAAGATCGCACTGGAGCCGTTCATGGTCTTCCGGTCCTCTGATCCTTCGCCATATCTTGATATCATCAGCGAAAAAATAGGAAATCGGAAGTAATTGATCTCGCCAAATCGTTAATGAACACCAAGAATAGACGAGGTCCAAGAACCGAGCCTTGTGGTACTCCGCACGCCACATCGATTGCATCAGACAATGATTCTCGGACTCTCACCACTAGCCGTCGTTCTTGTAGAAAATTGTCAATCCAACTCAGGATTGGGTCGCCAATGCCGTAATTCCGAAGCTTGTGAAGGAGAATGCGATGGTTTAAGCGATCAAATGCTTTTGAAAAGTCCAGGTAGATGACATCGACCCCTACTCCATCATCAACAGCTTCAGTCCAGCTATTACGTGCAATTAATAGGTTAGTATTACACGAATGCTTTTGACGAAAGCCATGTTGCTCTGGGGCTATTAAATTGTGGCTTTCCAGGTATTCCATCAGCGCATCTGCGATGATTGATTCCATCACTTTGGATAGTACTGGAAGTAGTGTTATTGGACGGTAGTTGGCAGGATCAGTGCGGCTACCTCCTTTATGAATAGGAGTGATGACCCCTCGCTTCCATACTGGTGGAATACGGTTCTCCTCTAGACATCGCTGATAGAAAATAGCCAGTGGATGCTGCTAGATCACTAGCTACTGCCTGCAGAGCCTTTGGTCGGATGTTGTCAGCTCCGGGAGAACTGTGGATACGCAAGCATAACAACTTCTTCAACACAGCTTCCGCAGTGAAGGTGATGTTTTCTAAACCAGATGGTGGAGTAGTAGAAATGAGGAGAATGTTTGTGCTCGTTACCTCCTGGAAAGTTCGGGAGTAATGAAGCCGTAGGAGATCAGCTGCTTCCATTGCTGATCGCGTGCACCCATCAGCCGTGACTAGTGCTGGAACCCCTCGCTTTACCTTTCGAAGGCCGTTAACGTGCCTGTACAGGAGTTTGCGATTCGTGCAGAATCGCTTCATTAACTTCTGCTGATGAGTGACGTTGTCTTCGCGGATCAGTTTCACACAGAAGTTACGATGGGTCACGTATGCAGTCCAGGTTTCGGCATTCGGGCAGTCCTGGTGATCTCGCCATGCCAAATCCCTCCGGGACATACATTTACGTGTCCTGCTCCTCAGAAATGAATTACGCTTGTTTTTAGGTTGGAAGGACTTCTGCTCTGATGCGTGCGCTACCAGTGTACTAAACGTCCTTGTAAATGTTTTCCCAGGCAACATCTGGGGGGCATTCGGTTAAGAAAGTCCAAGATGTATCCTTAACAAGCTTAGACAACACATTGTAGTGTGTGACAGTATGCACTTTATCCTCCTCCTTTTCAGGGTACTCCGCATAGCAAATATAGTCAAAGAGTAGAGTAACATGATCACTACGACCCAGTGGTGTGCTTGTAACTATCCCGCTAACCATGAGTTCTTCGTTAGTGAGCACAAGATCCAGTATCGACGGCTTGTTAGCAGTTCGAAATCTGGTGGGAGAGGTTACGTGGTTTGTAAAGAAGAGTGGCTAGCAATAAGCTCTTGCAA